TGCCATTATGAACAAGTCGAGCCAACGAGGAGGAGAAGACGAATGAGGGAGGGGGAGGCTCGATGAGAGGTAATGCGTAAAAAGCCGATCGAGAAAGCTGTGTCGCGGGATCCATCCTGCGGTCGACTTTTTACCTGAATCGCGTCCAGCGACGAGCGGGTCGCCCCATCAAAGGATCGAAATTCGCGGCGCAGGCCGTGAAGCTTATGGCTCAAGCAGATGCAACATGACAAAGATTGGACACTTTTCTTAGATCTCAGGACAGCTAGGATTTCAAGGGTGGTCTTATTGATCTCAAGGCCACTCCCCTTAAGTTCTCAATTTCCAAGGAGTCGTGTTGCACGTTGCTTATGGCTCAGCGGTAACAAACTCAGGACTGTTCCAAGTTCCCCCTAACCGTGAAGACTTTTCCATCTCCCAAAAACTTGACCGCAACATGACAAGTAAAGACCATCGCTCTGAAGTTATTGAGTGGTTGACTGAATATGACATTATATGTCGGGGCAGAATCCACCAGGAGGAAATCTTTCGTCCATGTGAATTGTTTCTCATTTTCCCCCCAGTTGACTGGGAGCCCAATCATTCCAAGCGCTTGCTTCATCTCGCCCGAGAGCCGTACCATGGCCCAGGTGCAATCATTCGATTGTCGGTGAGACTCGACTTGTCAAACACCTGTCGAACACCTGTTGAAACAGAGTTCCTTGTAACAATCGAGATGCTTCCCACCTGATAGTTATTGATTACAAATATTATTAAAATAGTGTCATTGTAGGGGTTCGCCTTCGGGGGCAGGTACTCGTCGGTGAAATAGATGGGTGGATGGTCTTTCGATTTTGGAGCAAAAGTCGCGGCACAGTGTTCCCCAGTTTGTTTCCTCTTTCGATTTGCTCGCTTGGGTGGTTTTATTCCTCTGAATATGGCAGGCACGAATCCTGCGATATGGATGGCGTTGTTGCGGATTGATCAGTCGGGTACTCCCCCCATAGGGGCTTTGCCCTATCTCAAAGTTGCAGCTCCGAAGCGACGAATTCCTTCAAATTTCCTTCCTTTATCAAGCTCCAGATGTGCCTACATTCCTCCGTGTCATGAACATGATCCCTGTGGTACTTACAGTACTTCTTGTTGTCCTGGAGAAAGACCCAGTACTTCTTGTTGTCCTGGAGAAAGACCCCGGTCTCATTGATGGCGCTTTACTGAAGAAATCCTTGTCTTGAATGTCGTCTACTATCACTGCCATTGATACCCTAAAAAAAGTCGCTCTAGTGACTTTGTGGTTTTACCGACGTCGGTCGTGGTACTAGATCAACCGCTGATTATGGGTCTTCGCTTGTCTTCTTTAGTCGCCTTAATGATGGATTGAGTTGTTACTGGGGTGACTTTCATAGCGTGGTTGGATGGGTGATCCTACATTCTCTCTTATTTTCCACTCGTTCTAGAAAGGTCACTTCTCATGTCATTGTTCGGAGGACTCGGGAGCGTCTTCGTATGTGTTGGTGTATTTATTGGTTGTCTCAAGTAACTCGGCCAAACTCTAGGACTCTACAAGGTCGAGGTCAAGGCGAAACCTCTCCGATCTCAACCCCTATGTCAAGGCGGCCTGAGCCATATCAGGTTTCAGGTCCTTCACATCCAGTGTCTCTTTCTAGAACCGCCCAATGAACAAACACAAACTTTCATTAGGTTCTTGTTTTAACTACCACAAAGATTGGACACTTTTCTTAGATCTGAGGACACAAGCAAACTGTGACAAAAAGCTTCCTGGATTTTGCGAAGCAGGTAATTACTCTCACTAGTAAAGCATGGAATATCTCAGAGCAGATGATCTCAACGTTGTAAAGAACAAGTTACACTTAAAAGCGTCAGAGATCTTCAGCAGGCACATTGAAGATTTAAAGGAGGCGAGGTGCCCGTTGGGGTTTGATCGACCCTTATATGACTCCAAAGTAGGTAGTTTAAACTTCTCTAAAGATTCAGCTCTTGCGACTTGCATGGAGAAAATATTCTCTGGTTGCCGCAACACTTCGGTCCGCCCAAGTCGATGTCTTTCTACCATAGGGCAGAATTGGCGCTGTCGTGATACAACACATCTCCAACTCTCTCCAGCAAGTGATTTGTCATTCTCCCATTATGCGCTGGCGGTTTCTCTTGGAGGGGTTATGAGCCCATTCTCCTCCTGGGACTGGGGCTACTCCCAAGACTGCAGCTGCTACGAGTACTTTCGCAAACTACCCCGAAACCTAATTGGTGATCTGAGTTCTCGGGTCCTACAGCCCCTACTGGACGAATTCTTCCACAAACTATTTGGTGCAATCTGCTTCTACTATGTTCCTCTGAATGGATTCTCCTTGCTACTGTTATTGTGTCCTCTTCTTTTTGATGATATAGTTCCATGTTCACCACACCTAAAAGAATGTTGAATCCAAAAAACGTTCACAAAAAAATGCCTAAGGAATAGAGTGTGACACAAGAAAGGAAGAAACAGTAAAGGACAATAAAACATGTAATCTTTAATTATGAAATGACTATTATTTATAGACATAGGGATACGAGTGTTGCAATTACAGATTTGCCCCTAATCATTAGCTTCTGAAGGGTTCATATTAATAAATTATGGAGTAAATACAAAATATTAAAAAGGCCTTTAAACTGGTATTGAATCTGGCGATCGTTCAACTTTAACGATCGACTGTCTTCAGGTTATGCATCAGTAATTGGTCGTTGGTGACTCCAATGCTTGATCGCTCGTCTCAAGTCATGTCGACCGGCTAGGCTTTCATTGAACGATTTCCAGAACTTTGGATTGCTAACCGATCGCATAGTTTCATGCATGATTGATTGGTCTATCCTCCGCCGATCGTCCGCTCCTCCTTGATCGTTTATTTTTTCTGAGATCCATGTTGTGTTACTAATCAGTCGCCCGATCCTCCAATGATCGTCTTCTGTCCTTGCCATCGGATTGTTTTGAGATTCGTGTCGTTGTATTTTTTTGTGAACAACTACCAAGTACGACTAATTACTGAAAGCAATATTTACCTAAGAACTGTAAAGGCTGGATCAAGCCCAATAATCTTAACTAAGAAAAGTCAAACCAAATAAAAAGATTAATCCAACATAAGGCATTCCCAACCTAATACCAAAATAATTGGGCAAAGATCCAATTGATATCGATTTAAAAATAATTGTTACTAGGCAAAGTTTTTCACAAAATGATACAACAAAAATATCATGATTCATAAGGCTCTCCAACCAATTCGTTCAATCAACAATGACAAGGCCACATGGATCCCCGATCCAAGCCAACAACTTTCGTGTAATATGATAACAGATGCCACTTGCATCTAACCCACAAAAATTTGATTGTCACAGAAGAGGCTTCAAAAGTTGCATAGGAAGCTAAAAAGAAGGAGAAAAAAATATAATAAAAGAAAACTTATCAAAGGATGGCATTAGCCATCATTATCCGCGCTCTCTTATTTGTAAAAACTATCAAACTAAACTAGTTGAATGAGTATCCTACTAGATAGCAATCAAATCATTTCTGCATGTAGTTAGTTAAAATTATTATCGTAAGAATCTCTATCATTTTATCATATATAGTAGCATAATATAAATGCATTCATTAATGTTGATTCATCCTAAAACTTAATGAAGTGTTAATTTTCTCTCTTTAGTCGAATTAATTCATCTCTCCGCCTTATCACCGAGCACATTCAATCTAAAATCAACCTTACTCTTTGTTCGCAAAAAAAAACAATTTTTAAAAAGTGAATAGAATGATATCAGGACCAGCTTCTGCCCCGAAAAGAACACATCAAAGAAGAAGAAAGCAATCCATGGAATTGGATGAGAGACCTGCAAGAGGCTTTGAAGAATATCATTGTAAATAAAGAGTTGACCTTGGTGTTTCCTTTGTCTTTTTCATTTTTTTATAGAATAAATAAGGGTGTGTCAAAAATGAAATCACATTATCAACTGGCTGATCAAGGAAGAGCATGGGCAAAAACTTTAAGGAGAACAAGGAAGAACCAGGGTTCAAGATAGAAAAGACTGCATCCACCAAGTTTAAAGTATTCTATATCCATTAATCTCTCTAAACCGTCTTCTCCCAAGAATCATGTAATCACTTTCCTTAGGTCTTGATTCTAAACCCTTGAAGGACCATCCAAAATATTCCCAAATCAATATCAAATATATGCATGCAAGAAAAATCCACTAAAAGAACAGTAAAGATTTTGTAAAAAACTATTAACACCGATGATATTGTTTTGAAAAATATTCATCCCATTTTTATCTTCAACTTCAGAACACTAACAATCAGACTGAGAAAATCCATCTCAGTTCTAGAACATATCAGCTTCACAAGAAAGCAGCATATAGATGCAAAGCACTCAGTCCCCAAGTTCTACATAGTCCAGCTTCATAACATCTAAAATACAATCTCATCAAACAGACGCTGGTTATATCTGACACCAGCAAAACTTTCCAACCAAAGAGTAATAATATCAAGAAAAAATCATGCCAAACCAGATCATATAAGCATACCATCAGAAAAACTTCAGCAAGGTTATACATGCCAAACTTACACGCCAAAGAAATTCGACCTAATTCAACGGTCAATAGATATTTCTTGTAAGGTTGCAACATTAAAGAAAAGTTCTTGCAGACACATGCCCAGGATAAAACTAGCTCAATCCAAATCTAATTAACCACAAAGCTCCAATTGCACCAAAAGAACCAGACCTTCGGCAACATCTCTCAGCATAGCATGATGAAAAAAAAAAATCAAGAATTCGACGTGATCAAACAAGCAAAAAAGGAAAAAGCACGCAAAAAATGTTCAATCCCATTAACAACAAAAACAGTAACATAAATATAATCCCTCAACAGAAACATTCAAACTCTAACCACTGTCGACGGAATCATAGCCCTAGCGCGAGCAAAATGTCAGGGAGGCAAATACGAACTGATTACAATTTGGTTTCTAATCAGGAAGAACAAACCTTCATCACTCCGAAACTTTCCCATCCCGATTAACGCCTCTGGTGCGCTTGAGGAGGGATACGCGGAACACTCACAAGCTCCTGAAGGGCAAACGGGAAAAGAGGAAGAACAGAGGTATAGAAGGAAAGAGAGACGTGAAGGAGAAGCGCTCTATTTTGACAAGAGTCGGGCTTGTACGGAAAACGCGGATCCCTTCCCCCATTTTTCAAAGCGAGACTCCCCTCTTACAACTCTCCACTTTGAATAACTTCAGAGCCCAACAAAATAAAATAATGTCAAGTGAAACTGACAGAAAATAAAAAATAGTCCTTTTAGTGAAGGAGGATATTCCTCACATATTATTCTGTATTATTCATGTATTATTGTGTTGGTATTCATATGATATTGTGTTATGAAAATATTTTTGGTGTTATAATAATACAGTAACACATGAATATCACCATAATAACACATGAATATCACCACAATAATACATCAATACCACCAAAAAGTCAAGTGTTAGCATATCAGTGGACTCTAAACGTAGTTCTGTGTTAGCAAACCTGATGTAATATTTTTCCCTCCATTTGCAACAAAATATTAGGTCTGGATACCTCACTTTCGGATGATTATATTTTTGGACCGTTAATCACCAATGGTCATGTCAGCAGTGGGCAATATGATCGTAAGTGTTTGGCAGTCCGAACATGGAATATTTTTTCTCAAGTGCATATGAGAAAATATTACATATTTATAAATAAATAAAATTATGGTGATGTAGTCACTCTATCCACCCATATAAGTACATATTAATAAAATATGCAATATTTACTCTTGAAGTGTTCCTCTCCCATATTTATTTCACTGAATTTTTTATCATTTACTTTTAGTAAAATTAACATACATACCATATAATTAGTATATAATTATATATCTTAAATACAATTTTAATATTTACAAGTATAATACTTTAGTGTCATAATTTATGCATTAAACTCTATATTCTAATTCTAAAAAAATAACATCATGATATTATTGACGTGATCTTAATGATTTGAGTAATATATATGTATATGGGTGGTGCTACAGTAAATTTATTTTATTAAGCCTGAAACTCGACCGTTTCGAGTAATCTTCGGTCATAGGCTTTGTGGTTGATGTTGAATCTGAACAACCAATTCGAGCCCAAACTCAAACCCTCCTCGTAGATCATGAACAAAGCAGTGATGCCGATTTCTATCTTCGATCTCAATTTCTAGCAAACCGCACAAAAAAAAAATGAATGGCAGTGCTAGCTTTCTTTGTAACTCGAATCCTCTCCTTCTATTGCTTTAAATAGATGGGGGCATGTACATATGTATCACAAAATTCTCATGTATTTACATATCTAACAGTTAAAGGTTCATATTGCGTAACACTCAAATCTTTTAAATTAAAAATATCACCATCACCATTTTGTAAGTCAAATACACAATATTATGCATGGTTTTATTAAACCCACATGTTATAAATATAAATATCAAACTTTAAATATTAGATATATAAATACATAAGAATTGTGTGGTATGTAAATTTTCCAAAATAGATTTCTTTTTGGTGTTGGTTTTTTTTTAATTATTAACATGTTTCGTGATGAATAAAGATAATCCCCCGCTATTTTAAAATTGAGTTTTACCAGTCTTTCTAAGGAACTATTTCAGCCTCAATTTAAAAAGTTTGGGGACTATTTGAATTGAGTGATATGCATGAAAATAGGAATGCTTAGTTGTTAGATACGTGAAAACATAAGAATTATGTGGTTTGTATGTAAATGCCACTTGTTTCTATTGTTGTCATCCTCTCATATTAGAATGCTAACCAACAAAGAATCAAATTGTTTTTGGCTCCCTTTTATTTAGGAAGTGGAGAAAGTTCATCCTCTCCCATCCTGGCTCCTCACTCTCGATGTTAGAATGCTAACCAATCAAATTGTTTTTGGCTTTCTCTTATTTAGGAAGAGGTGAAAGCTTAAGGATAAATATGGATTTACTCTCTCAAAAGTCGTTTCACTTTCTTGAATGTACATGGGTTATAGAGTTGGTGTAGAATGGGAATAAATCTTTCTTCCGGACATCCGTTAGCCAACCACCAATGGCCACGTCGCCCGCCGATGACGCGTATGACGACATGGATGCTGGTAGTTAGCCTTCCGAACGTACGGTATTCTGACGAAATATTTCCTCGTAGATGGAGATCCTTAGTTCAACAATATAAAGTACTTTGATTTAAAAAATATAAACTACTTCTCTTATGTTTTTGTTTTAAATAAATCTCTTGAAAAAATATTATGCCATTTGTTTCTATTGTTGTCATCCTCTCCCATCTCCTCTCCTCACTGTTGATATTAGAATGCTACCCGACAAAGAATCAAATTGTTTTTTGGCTCCCTTTTATTTAGGAAGTGGAGAAAGTTTGAAGATAAACTTGGATTTACTCTCTCAAAAGCTTTCATGCTTTCTTGAATGCACAAGGGATGTAGAGTTGGTGTAGAAGAGGAACCGTCCGCACGTCCAGAAGGCAACCCAATGCGGCAATGTCGCTGGTTGATGACGTGGTTGCCGATGGTTAGCCTAGCCGTCTGGACGTGCGGTGTCCGGACAGAGTAATTTGGAGGTCCTTAGTTCAACAATATAAAGAACTATATTTAAAAAAATACAAACTATTTCCTTTATGTTTTTGTTTTAAGAGGGGATTTGACTTTCAAAAGTATTTCTATAAGTTAAATAGATCTCTTGAAAAAAATATGATGGGTGCAGCCATTTGGCCCTTCAACGAATCTTCTTAGAATAACATAACATAGTTGACCTTCTATATTTTTTGTAAGATGTATGTGATAAGAGTTTTATGCTAAAAATAATGCAAATAGAAAAATGGATATTTATGTGGGATTATGACAGCGTTCGTATTATAAATCATGCCTGTATTTTCTTAAGCCCCACAATTGTTATGTATTTGCATATCTGACGCATAAACTTTATTTATTATATTTATACCCTCAAATATTTTATATCACATCAAAAATATCATCATTTCAACATTTAGAAACTAAAATACATCTTTTCATATATAGATAAGACGACATGTATGTAAAAATTGAAATACGGACGGAGTAATTTGGAGGTCCTTAGTTCAACAATATAAAGAACTATATTTAAAAAAATACAAACTATTTCCTTTATGTTTTTGTTTTAAGAGGGGATTTGACTTTCAAAAGTATTTCTATAAGTTAAATAGATCTCTTGAAAAAAATATGATGGGTGCAGCCATTTGGCCCTTCAACGAATCTTCTTAGAATAACATAACATAGTTGACCTTCTATATTTTTTGTAAGATGTATGTGATAAGAGTTTTATGCTAAAAATAATGCAAATAGAAAAATGGATATTTATGTGGGATTATGACAGCGTTCGTATTATAAATCATGCCTGTATTTTTGTAAGGAGCGATTACATACTTACATACTACATCACAATGGTTATGTATTTGCATATCTGACGCATAAACTTTATTTATTATATTTATACCCTCAAATATTTTATATCACATCAAAAATATCATCATTTCAACATTTAGAAACTAAAATACATCTTTTCATATATAGATAAGACGACATGTATGTAAAAATTGAAATATTAAGTGTTAACAATGTAAATAGGTAAGAACTGGGCGGTATGTATGTAAATCTTCTTTTCTTACGTCAAGCCTTAAATCATAAAATTTGTATCTAGAACTTGTAATCTTAAGGAAAAAGAAACTTATTTTCACTATTAATATGTGCAATTCAAAGGAGCAAATAATAATTTTTTTCAAACAAATTTATTCATTAAAAAAATTTAAATGTTTGGTCTATAAAAAAGCATGATTAGGGTTGTAAATGAACCAATGCACTCAATTGACAACTCGAACTCGACTCGATTACGAGTCAATCATGTTCGTTTAAATTAGTAAATAAACAAGCTCGAACAATTTTTAAAAGCTTGAAGCTTAAATGAACATAGTCGAACTTGTGTTCACGGACAAACTCGTTTGTTGTTCAAAAAGTAATTTTTTAAATATTCAATATTAAGTTGAATGATAGCTTGTAACATATATCATATAATTTTTTTTTAAAAAATTAATTAAATATAATATTAACTTATTTGTTGTTAAATCGTATCATATATGATATATAAATACTTGATATGAAGTTTTTGCAGGTTTTAAAGTTGTCAATTTTAGTTGTTTGGTAGGATCATATTAAATCATGCTTAAGTGCTATACAAATCATTCTACTAAACCTCTCCTAAGCGACGGATTTAGACAAAATGGAGGCGAAACGAGATTTAAGATGGCTAAGAGTTTATAATAAATAAATTAATAGCTGAGATCAAATTCGTAAAATTATTTATTAAATTTTTTGCATCAAAACCTAGATGCTCCTTTGAATTTTTAGCTCGTTTATTAACTTATTAAACGCTTGTTCAGTTGTCATAAACAAATCAAATACAAATTACATAGTCGAACTTGTCTTCATGGACAAACTCGTTTGTTGTTCAAAAAGTACTTTTTTTAAATATTCAATATTAAACTAGATGATAGCTTGTAACATATATGATATAATATTTAAATAAAAATTAATTAACTTGAATATTAACTTATTTGTTGATAACTCGTATCATATATGATATATAAATACTCGATGTTAAGTTTTTCCAGGTTTGAAAGTAGTCAATTTTAGTTGTTTGGTAGGATTCAGATTAAATCATGCTTAAGTGCTATGCAAATTATTCTACTAAACATCTCCTAAACGACGGATTTAGACAAAATGGAGGTGAAACGAGATTTAAGATGGCTAAGAGTTTATAATCAATAAATTAATAGCTGAGATCAAATTCGTAAAATTATTTATTAAATTTTTTGCATCAAAACCTAGATGCTCCTTTGAATTTTTAGCTCATTTATTAACTCATTAAACGCTTGTTCAGTTGTCATAAACAAATCAAATACAAATTATGTCCAAACATTGAAAATTTTAAACAAGTCAAACTTGAAGAATATATGAAAGCTCGGCACAAAGTCAAGCAGAACAAAAACAACTTATTACTATACCAAGCCAAATCCGAACTATGATATACTCGCACAACTCGCCTCGATTACAGCTCTAAGTATAAAGTCCTATAAATGTATCAAATTCTCGAGGTTGTACCTTAAAAGTACTTCTTTAGACTATATCCTATTCAAGTTGCCATCTTTATATTGAATTAGAATAATTTATATATCATTCACTTGTTTTATAAGCGAATTAACTTTCTCAGCTTCAAACTTACAAGTAAGAATTCATACAATCATTCATTCTTCAATCAGATACAACACATTCTGATAAATTTAAATATATTTATGAATTTACAAGTAAGTAGAAATTATTATTATTATATGTATTCATTTCATATTTATTATATCTACTAATAATTATCATATAAAGTTTTAACTTTAAAGATCTAATAGTCTACCATTATGTCAATATTCTATATTTTTAATAAGACATATTTTCTTACCTGTCTCACCCTCCTAAAAATATGAAATACCACTAAACATTATAAAAAAAAAATAAAAAAAAAAAGAAAATTCTCCTGCCATAAAAAGACGGAAAAAATTTGCATGCGATAGACGTACGCAGCGCTGCGTGCGATATCGGGGTATACTGAGGGTACAAGGGGGTTACATCCACGGTATAAGCCCTTGTAATCTTCCTGTAACCTCCCTGTAACTTACGTGTAACCTCTTAATATATGATAACAGAAGCGCGAAACTTATTTTAGAGTACAAATAGGTTACAAAAAGTTACAGGAAGGTTACAAGGGGTTATACCGCGGATGTAACTCCTGAACCTTGAGCATCGCTGCGTACGTCTTTCGCATTCAAATTTTTTCCTAAAAAGGCAAGATGGAAAACTTCACCGTGGAAGCACTTTTACAACTTAGAACAACGATCCATCTTATTTAAATAAAAAGTTTACCTTTATACCCACATAGAGGTGGGAAATGGTAATATATGCAAAAATAAAATAAAATAAAAAATAAAAAACTAATAAGGGACATTCTTGGGAAGATTCCTGATCACATTGCTCTTCATTCCAATTTTTGTGCGCATCGCATCAACGCCGCTGCGGTTCATCTCCTTCAGAATCTTCATCCTCACTGAGTTTGGGTTTGTCGCCAAGCCCATGCTTCGATACCTGCAGTCCATGCCAACCCCATCAGCTCCATCTTCCTATCTATCTTCTTCTTTTTGGGGAAATTTACATATATACCACGCAATTCTTATGCATTTACATAAGTAATACCAAAAGTTTGATAATTACATTTATAACACCATGGTGGTAAAAACCTGTGTATGAAAAAGATGTATTTCACTTTTAAAAGTTAGGAAGATTTACATGCATGCCTAACACCTAAACTTCAATTTTCACATATACGGCGCTTTACCAACGCACGAAAAAAAGTGTATTTCACTTTTTAAAGGTTAAAATAGAGTTATTTTTATGTGATAAGAAAGATTTGTGGTATAAATGTAAAAATTAAAGTTTAGGTGTTAGATATGTAAATGCATAGGAATTGGAAGGTATATATGTAAAATGCCCCAAAATGTTAATGCTAGTGGTATTTCTAATGTGATGTCAAAAGATTCGATTGTTATGCATGAAAATATGAATGAAGGTTTTGGTGTTAAGATATGTAAATATATAAGAATAGTGTGGTATGTATGTAAATGCCCACTTTCATATCTCATAGAACAGATACAATCAATAGTTTTGATGCTATTTACTAATTCTAATCCCTGCAATATCACACTTCTCTTCCATAAATACACTATATAGTTAGTTTATACATTTTTTTTTTACACTCAATGCCCAAACTAATCAATTCATTGTAACAATCCAGCATATACTTTATGAAAAACAAGAAAATTGCACTTCCATATTCCTACATTATTCAAAACATTAAGGGGGCATTTGCATACATGCCACAATTCTCATGTATTTACATGCTAAATTTTACTTTTTATATTTATACCACACGAATCATTCATATCATGAAAAAATATCATTATTTTAACTTTTATAAAGTTAAATACACTTTTTCATGCATATGTAGGATGGCTTACAAGTAAAAAATTAAAGTTTAGGGGATATATATATATATATATATATATATATATAAGCATTGAGGGGTATGTATGCAAATCTTCCAAACATTGAATCTATTTGTGCATCTTATGTTCATCAAAAGCAGCTCAAGGCTTAGGAAGTAGCCATACCTGGAAGCTAATGAGATAGCGAGTTCAATGTTGCTGTCACGAGACGGACGAGGTTTCTGGCGATAGTAACGAAGAAACTCTCTCGAACCAAAAATGCGAACCGTCGTCCCATTTTCGGTCTTTTGTGTTATAATTAACTCAGCCCCTCCACTTCCAAGCTCAACACTTCGTGATGAGTCGCCGCCCAGCGCCACTAGTTGCTTCCCATCCTTGTCCGTGTAACTTGAATAAAAGCACAAGCTTGTGTTTAGTATATGAAGCAATCTAATGCAAGAAACCATGAACTTGAGATAATCTTCTACTTTATACGATATATCTATATAAATTATGATCATCAATGAGAAATATTTGAATATCTAATATATGATAAAACAATCATGGTGATTTCAAGGATGCTGCTTAAGCATGGGGTTTATTACTCGGCACCTAACCAAATTCATTCTGCATAGATAAATACCAATTTTTTACAGATGCTGACAGATATTTAGCAGAAAAAATAAAATTAAAAAAAAATCTACAATGAAAAAGAAGGAAGATTTACATGCATGCCAATCAATTCTTAATGCTTTTGCATATAATAAAATTTTTTTAGCTTTAATTGAAAAAAAAAAAAAATTAAGACTTAAGAAATAACGTCGAAGAAGACAAACTACAAACAAATCGAGAGATGCCAAGATTTACACACAAAAATTTAGGCTTCAAAACTATGGACAACGGAGAAGAATTCATTATTCGAGCAGAATCCTATCGGATTAATCCCTCTGCTATCATCACAGATCAATACAAAATTTTCCTTTTGGCAATCGATTGACACAGATTGCTCATGTGAAAAATGCTAAGTGTAAATCAATCAAGAAGCAAATGCTACTCTAAAGAAAACATAAATGGAAGAACAGAGAAATTGAATTTACTTCAGCAATCATTTTGTGAAAATTTCTAGTGCAAAACGAGTGTTTTGAGAGTTGCTTTCCTTATCATTTTTTCATAGCATTTTATCATAATTTCTCAAACTCTTCTTCTATTTGACAGGCATCTTCTGTTATCCTTTGATTCATAAAAATGTTCATTATAACTTAAAAATTTAAAAAAACAACTGTAACCCCTTATGGACTACGCCATATCATTTAAGCAATGAAAGTGAGATTTATGTTTATAGGATAAAAACTCTAGTTCTTGAGGAACAATCAACCACAAAATCACCGCTTTTTAATGCTACTATAACTAAGGAAAGACTAAAAAGAGAATCTACTTGAAATTTTCAATTATTTCTATGTGGCACATGATTATGAATGACTACCTTAAGCCAAAAAATGTCCTTAATGGAATTAGCTAAAAAAACCATTGAAACACGTAAATACACAGACAAGCATAATGCTACATCAAAATACCAAAAAAATATTTATCTGCCTATTTATTTCTTCTATTTTATGTAAATATTTGCAAACTAATGTATTATAGAAATATCTAGAAACTACACACAGTAAATTAAGAAATAGTTAATAAGATAATAAGTCTGGTCTAAATAATTTTGAGCCAAACATTGAACAAATTTAAATTTAATCAAACTTGATTTGAGTCAAAATATCTAAACTACAATTAAGGTTGACTCATTGTGATTTATATTGTCATCAGCCATGCTACATATTAGAGATTTCTCAAGCATTATGGCGCGGGATAGTGAGTCATAATATTTCCATGTAATCTAGACATTTTCATTGTCAAAGTGAAGCACCAAAAAGCAAGCTATTAGTTATATAGATTTGCCAAAAAAACTTTCTTATTTGATGGATCTATAAGCAAATAGGCATATTATATTAGTGAATACAGTACGAATGAATTATATTAAAATAAATCCATGTCCTGTATCTTTTCTAATATATGAAAAACAGAATTTAATTTCAAAAGTACAATATATATGTTTTAGAAAAAAGCTCCTGCATTTTGGAAAAAAAAAAGGTCTTTTAAATACCTTATTAAAGCTTGTTAACAAATAAATTATTATTAAAATAAAATTTATACAATTAATTTATATTAAAGATTCCGTATTTTTTATACCAAATTCAAGAACAAAATTCTTATTATAAATGTATGGATCAATGCCATTCAATGCCCATCCCATATTTTAATAAGCCTAGATTTACACTCCTCTATGGCTTAACATCCATAGCATTAAAGGTGTGCCTTAGAACCCAAAGTTAGAGCAAATAACTTGCCACAGGTAATAACAGATATTAAATATTTTTTATACGAACTTGTTACAAGGAATGAGGGGTATGCTAAATCCAAATAATACAATAAAATACAACAAGTGAAAAAAGTGCCACAATGCAAGGGCTCATTTCAAATTCGAGAAGAAAACAATCTCAAAATTTTACCTGCTGCTATAGTCATAAAAGTCTTCCAGATCTCCATCCTCGTCATCCCCCCCATCACCGTAGCGAAGTTTGCAGTGCCCTTTTGCAATCATGTGTTTTCTTACTGCCTCCAAGCTCTGAAAAGGCTGGCATCTTTCATTGCAATACAAGCATGTGAAATCCCTTTTGACCTAAAATCAACAACAACAAGATCAAGCATTCAAGTAGACAAGAGCTTTATAATGTAACGAATATCTCAAAACAAAGATGAGTAAAGTCCCAAAATAGTACCCCGACTGTTTACATGGGGCCATTTTAGTCCCAATCTATAAAAGTGTCAAATTATACCCCAAACTTTTTAAGTTGGGCCTAAATTAGTCCTTCACGTGATTACTGTAGCTCATATTAAAAGAATACGCAATTTAAATTGACATTTTATAAACTCTAAGACTACAATGACTCCCTGCAAAGTCAAAAAATACTTCGACACTTTTCTCAACAAAAATGCATATGTATATCAGTACCTTAAGGCCAACATATGTCAAAAGTCCCGTGGGATCATTCAAATACTCAACATCAGGAATAAAGAAGCCATGCTCTTTGTGCATGTGAACCATACATCTTTCGATACCATCATGTTTACGATCACAAATAAAACAACACGAGACATCCAACTCCTCATCTTCATCCATCGCCTCACTCTTGACAAAACCAGAGCTTGAAGTAATTCCATTGACGTGAAGACGCGTTAAAGATTCAGATGCCTCCTCCATAGCTTCATTTGGATCAACCTCCTCCCATTCAGAGTCCTCACTCTCATCATTTTCTTCATCGTTCCCTTCTCCTAGTGTTGGAATTTTACTAATGGAAGCCGACTTGGTTGGTAAACGATCCGTAAGAGGCTTAATTATAGTAATGCTAGCCATCTGTGTTGACTCTTGAGAAGCTTTCATTGTATGCATTCTTGATTTGAGATGTTGAGAGTGAGCTTTGGAGCTCCTATACTCCTTCCCACAAAGGGCACAACAGTATAACATAGGTGCTTCGCTCGTCTTTTCATGTTCTTCAGCTAAAGCTAATTGTCTAGCTTGAAACAAAGATTCTGTAACCCCAGGAACTCCAGCTACCTGACAACAGCAAATAAAGTATCCAGCAATCACTATATTCTAAAATTAACTAAGCATCCTTTTGATTGACTAAGCAAGAAAGAAAAATAAATTAATATGTTGAAACAAAAACAAGAATGGATGATGAGCAAAATAATAAACTGATTATCCCTAATATGTTAGTCAAAAACTTCAAAGCAAGGAAGGCCATCGACATACATACCATCTAATTCTCATGTATTTACATATCTAACACCAAAACTTCTGTTTTTACATTTATACAACCCACAATTTCATGTCACATAAAAAACACCACCATTTTAACTTTTAAAAAGTGAAATACAACTTTTCATGCATAGATAAAGCGGCATAAATGTAAATACATAAGAATTGAGTGGTAGGCATGTAAATCTTCCTATGAAGAAGCCTAGCGACTAAAAATACAATTTCATGAAAAATGAAGCTTTTCAGTTTGTTAGCATTCTACCAACTTCTTCAAGCCTTTTTCATAACTATCATATCATTCTAGCACATTCATACAATGATGGCGGCTTATACCTTGTTCATAAATTGCTACAGGTTCAAGAAACTAAATTAAGAAAAATTTGCATTTCTATAAAACTAACACAAAATATAATCAGATTATCAAAAAAAGAAATCCTCCCTCATAGATCAAAGTATGAACTTCTTAGGTGGAAAGCAGCTACAACTACAAGCAGAAAGAGAAGAACGGGAGAAGATCAAATCCCTTCGTCCCTCATCCTACTCGAACCATCCAGCCACAAAACCAAAATTTATAATAATAATTTTCAAGCTTTTTAGAAGGAAATGTAGAGCATTAAAATCCCAAGTCATGAACCAAAAACAATAACCAGCATATACTGTCCACTAACTCAAGAATACAACAGCAAAATAAGTTGGGAAAGATTTAAGAGGATCCACCATCGAAACTACCTCAGGCAAAGAAATCATTACCGGCTGACAAATAATAAATAATTAATTAAAAAATAAAAACCACATCAATGCAATTACATACCCTAGGTACCTCTATCCGAATCTGGAATAGCATAACATACTTTAATTTCAAACAAATTGTGCGACCTACTTGAAACCAATCTGAACATATGAATAAATTCTCTCCAACCAATAGCTAGATGGAAAGAAATAAGAAAAAAGAAGAAAAAGAAGAAGAAGAAAACCCAAAGCTGTATACTCAAAGATTATTAATCGGCTTCAAAAAACCTAGTCCATGCATCACAGAAATCTCATGTGAGAGGAAACAACGGTACCTTTCTCTTAAGATTGTATCGATGCCATTCTGAACGGTAATGGAGCTTCTGCTCCGCATCGTCTTCAAACTCCCTATTGCAGGCGTTGCACGTCAGCCCTCCCATCACTTTCCCTTCAATCTCACTTAATCTTGATTAGAAAACGAAGAAAACACTATGGCGAAGATGTCCGCAGAATGAATCTGTTTATGTGGAGCAGAGGGGACAATGAGAACAGAAATACTCCATGGCGGTGAAGAAGAACGATCAGATCGGTGCTAGAAACCAATCGAAGCCGTCCATCTAATGCTCTTTTGCTGTACTGCCGCCGTCGGATGAGATGAGGTAGTGTGTATTTGACCTGGCTTATAATTAATAAATTAAAGTGTTTTTAATTACATTAATATAATTAAAACATCTTAAATTTTAAAAAATTAAGTTTACAAAAATTTAAATATTATTAAATCCAGTGCATTAATATGAGCCTTCGGTTCAAAACTTTAAACCCTAATTTCAGATGCATATGTAAGATAACATAAGAACCCTACCCTAAACCACTTGAATAGAAAGAAGAGAAAGACGTGAAGAAGGCTCCAAGGAAGATAAATGAAAAAAATTTATTCAATTGATTTTACAAAGGCACCAATACAAAATATATATAGAAAGATATACAATGGCAAACTTGTAATTAAATATATGACTAAAACAATCATTTGACACAGATAATAACTGTTTTATATCCTCTCACGGGCCGTAGAGAAGAAACAAGAGGTCAATGGCGGCGAGAAGCTTGGAGCAGATGAGAGTAGAAGAAAAACGCCTCTTCATTTAGCTCCCCCTCAAGATAACGATTAGATGCAGTGATCGTTAGCTTGTAGGTCGGTTATTGATGAGTTGCGATTGACAGTGGCTTGGTAAGTATATATGCGACTTGATCTGCGGTCATTATGTGCTTAATAAAGATATGTTGAAGTTTGAGATGGTTTCTAGTGAAGTGATAATCTACTTCAATGAAATTAATCTGCTCATGAAATATCGGATTGTGCACTAGGACGATTGCTGAAGTGCTATCACTGTGGAGGTAATTTTTTCTTTGTCACTTCTTCTATTAGTTGCCAAAGTAAGAGGATTTCAATGGTGGTAGTAGCAATGGTCCTATATTCAACCTCTGCTGAGGATTTTGCCATCATTGGTTGCTTTTTAGTAGACCAAGATAACAGGTTTGATTCAATATATACATAAAACCTGTCGTTGATTTCCGATCATGGTCATTACTAGCTCAAACCAAGTCTGCATATGCTTTTAAACATAGATCATCATAAATAATTGAAAAATCATATTCACGAGTGCCTTTTAAATAACGCAGAAGCCTTTTTAATTGTTGAAAGTTATGATTTGTGGGATTATGCATGAATTGACTAAGATAATTAATGAAAAATGTGATCTTAGGGCGAATGACATTCAAGTATTGCAAAGATCCAATAATCTGTATTGAACAATATGAGAGAATAAGGATATTTTGAAGGAATGATGGACATGGGAGTCGCTAATGGTTTAGCTTTTTATATATTTGTCATGTGTAATGAATTATTTATATATGATGTTTGATGTAGAAAGTAACCGTTGGAAATATATTTGATATGAAGACTAAGGAAGTTGGAAATTATCTATACATGATTTTTATTGCTCCTTTTTTTGTTGAAAGAAACAAGATGAAAGTGTGGTCACTTATGTTGCTTATGTGTGGTTATTTTTTACAAATAGCCTATTGAGCATCTCTAAGCGTCCATTTTTTTACGCTTCCATTGCATGTATATAAGCTTTGACAATTAGCAATTGACAATAGTTGTTTTAATTTTTTTTTATCATTGTTTATTAGTAAGTTACATCTTTTTGGTGAAATATTATTGTAAAATTCAATCTTTGCCATGTGATTTGTGAGTTATATTTCTTGTTACAAAAAGTTGCGTGTAATCATACTACCAAAAGCAAGAATTTTAGATGCTATATTGGTTTGCTAAGTCTTGGGTGGATCTTCAAGTGCAACATATGATTTATTTCACTCTTTTTATTTTGTGCGCCCATGTCAACTTTGAATATTTCTCAAACTGTTTCATTTGCTTTTTCAAGATGTTGGTTAGAATTTTAGTGGTTATTTTATTTTAGTAATTGGCATTGTTGTTTTTGTGAGATGTTGATTTTGCACTTTGTCTTATTTAGATATTAGCGAGTCGGTGATTGATGTTTTTTTTGTGAGATGCTGGTTAGAGGTTCTTGATGCGTGCTGGAAAATTCACGGCGGCAGGGTAGTGGATTATTGTCTTAGCGTTGCACGAGGATTCAACACACACTCAGATAAAAGGGGAAACAACCTATGATTACACCAGAAGTTTTTACGTGGAAAACCAGTAAAGGGAAAAAACCACGGGGCTTGGTCTAGTTGTAAAAATTCACTATATGTTGATGATTACAGAGACCCTTTGTCTCACAGACGAGAAAAGGTTACTAATTTTTCAAATTACAACGTAGATTGACGACGCTAGTCAGCGGTGGTCGACAACAGTCGATGACGGTCGGAGATGGTCGACAGAGGTGAGCGGTGATCGGAGGTGGTCGACGGTGCCCTACGGAGGTCAGTGGTGGTCGACGATAGTCGGCGGCGGTCGGCGACGATTGACGGCGGTCAGCAATGGTCGACGGATGTCGACGATGGTAGGGATGATGTTGGACTTGAGCTCCTTCTCAAAGCCTCAAGTTCTCTCTCAAGCCTCCTTCCCTCATATGAGGGATGGGGCTCTATTTATAGTGTTCTGGGTGCAATTAATGCATGAATTTGAACCATTTTAATCTGACGGGTGAAAAATTATATTTGTATTTGTTCTTTTATTCATAATTTAGAGAAAGTTTATTTTTATTTTATTTATCCTTAAGACTATTTATATAATAAATAATAAAAAAGCTAATAAAAAGATCGTGTTACTCAAATTCTATAATAATAATAAAAAAGTTGAATGTTGAGAGTTTATGATATGCTTGTGGATTTCATATTGTAATTAAATAATTGATTAAGGTCGGAGGTTTCCAAAAATATATTGAGATTAAATGAATTATTTTTTTGTCAAAGATTAGTTAAAAAAAAATGTTACATGCTAGAAGACATTTTCAAAATCATAGAAATGTAAGAGTTTAAAAGCTACATAATAATGCTTACTTTAAAAAATTTTAGTAAGTGCATGTTTGTCAAATGACAATTATAATATGAAGTGAAGATGATGATGTTATTTCGGCTACTCGCTAATGATAATGTTTGTAGAAATGGCTTCACGAACATCACCAAAATGCTTGTTTCTACGTTCAAAGCATGAGCCTAATTGTAAGAGGAGAGAGCTCGTGGAGAAATAGGTTCAATAGAAAGAATGTATGTAGCAAATCAATAGTAAAGAAAATTTTTTATAGGCCTTTGATAACAATAAGTTAAAATTTTTATGGAGAAAATCATTTAAAAATTAAAAAAAAATGATTAGGCATGATAATTTGACTAAAATATATTAAAATATTTTGAAGAAAAATGTCATGTGATATATTTCAACTACCAAAATCTTTTATCTTAAAAAAAAAAAAATACAAGTCTTTTTAGGAATTAATGTCATTATGATTATCATTAATGAAATGGATTTTTTATCATTCTTTCTCTCTATGTAGATTTAATTTTACATTCATTTAATCTTTTGAAATGTGTTTGCTTATGAATAATCATAGCCAAACCAAACATCTTACATGATAATCACATTATATCATTCTCATCAACAAAAATTACGCCTTTGAATTCAAATAAAAGGAGAAAGAAAGAAAAAAGAGAATTCAATCTTCAGCCTAAAACATTAAGAAAGTTTATTGTAAATATCAAAATAATTTCCCAACAAACCATAAAAATCGAGTTGCCAGAATGCATTATTATACCTAACAAATCATGAACATTCTCATGATTCTATATACATAACAAATTCAAGTACTAAAAAAAAAAAGCAATAAATCATCTCATGCTGTCTAAAATTTCATCTTCAGCGATGGAATCCAATTTTCTTAGGGAGCTTTCGAATGTTGTTGTTCGTCTTCGTCCCAATCTTAGCCCGCATTGCTTCCACCCCATTACGGTTCATCTCCCTGAGAGCATGCATCTTTACATAACTTTGTCTTGATTGCATCGTCGCCAATCCGATATTTCTCCGTCTCCGACCCCTGCAACCCATGCAACTAAATTACAATATTACTGATAAAAAGAGATTTTTTACAAATTGCAAGATAAAAATTCATTACTTTTCACATTCAAAATACATCAAATGCATGTCATAAAATCACAAAATGTAAAAAGGAAAAAAAAAAACAGAAAAAAAAATACCCTCTAGTATAGTCAAAAAGGTATCCCAATTTTCCTTCATCCTCATAACTAACATCAACTGTGTAAAGCATGTGTTCCCTTTCATCAACCTTCTCATTTTTCACTGCCTTACAACTTTTGAAATGGTTGCATTTTCTGCCACAACGCAAACATGTGTAATCTCTCCAGACCTAAAATCAGTAAAAAAGAACGACTTTTCCGTAATAGAATACTAAACATAAAAAAAGATAATTTATGAAAAAAACAGGGAACAGATTTCTTCACCTGAACGCCGACAAATGTAAAAAATCTTACAAGATTGTCCAAATAACCAAAATCTTCCATAAAAAACCCCCGTTTTTTATCAGTAAACAAGCAGTTTCGTATGCCAACTGGATCAAAAACCTGCTTTTGTGATTTGAGATGTTGAGGGTGAGATTTGGGGCACTCGCACTTCTCTCCACAAAGAGAACAGCTATAAAACTCATGAGCTTCATTTTTCTTCTCAAACCTCTCAGCTAAAGCTAATTGACGAGCCTGAAACAGCGCTTCTATCACCACAGAATATCCAAGAATCTGTTCGTATCCATAATCGATGTCAGTCTCAGCCAAGAATTAAACATTGATTTAAAACAAAAAAAAATCCTTGAAATGAAGGTTTTTTAAATGATTATCCTACATAATTCAAAAGCAAATCATTATAACAAAAGTAAAGCAATCATTCTATATAAATCAAAATCATATCTTGAAATTTATCCTCACGTTCTTGCGCATATTTAACCATTTTTACCTTATTCATATGTAAAATTTATTTTTTATGAAATGAGACATGAAAGAACGAATCTTGTCAATTTTATTTTATTTTATTTCCTCATTCTAATTCATTTCTCAATCAAAGAACGAATCTTGTCATTTTTTTATGCTGTCTCATTGATATAAAGTATCTATATGTAATTTACACAAAAGTAAATTCTTATATTCTTGACCCAACAAACTACAAGTCGCCAAATAACAAGAAGAACAGCAAGTTTCATTGATATAAAGTATCTATATGTAATTAGAATGAAAATCTCCATCACCTTCTCGCCCCTCTCTTTTGA